AGGCGACTGTACAATCGCAGGGGTGGTCTACAAGATCACATGTTCAGTTGTGGAGAGATACATATCGGCGATACATATTGGCATCAAGACCGTTATGCGTACGCTTCAATGAGCACTTAGAGGACAAGGTCAGGTCACGCATTTCAACTGCCTTAGGCGCCCACAGGGTGGAAACGCATTATGGAGCCGACTTCGAGGTCTTGGCAGGAGAATCGCAAACACCCGCACGAAACCCTCGAGGCATTCAGCATTCAGGTCACCAGACCAAAAATGAACAGAAGGGAAGGATGTATCACCATCACGCCGGAGCTGAGGCAGTACATAAAGTTGGCCTTCCACCAGTGAGTCTGAATCACACACAGTCCGAAGATCTTACTGGACCGCTGCTGGCTTTTCAGTGATCGCGAGGACCGGACTGATCTACGGTAAGTGACCCAACTTATAATAGCGTGATGACCTTTGAGGTCTCGAACTTCCGTAAGGTAGTTGATCCTGTAATCGGGTAATCATAAATTTCTTCGATCCTTCCAGGCTCTGAAGAAAGCGATCCACGTCGAAACGTAAGCCGGAACAGAGTTTTCTTACCAACCTCGTTCGAGTTCAAGCGAAGAAAACCAACGTTTGCACTATGCCGAGGTTTAGAGATAGCCGTACATGGCGAACTAATCAGAGTTTCTTCGCACATAGGTGCGAGGCGACCCTGATTGGGTAGTGAAGACTCAGGGATCATCAAATTTTTCATTCATCCTCATTAATCAACTAGTAAGGAAGGAATTATAAAGGAAAGAGTTTCAAGAGTTATCAGTTTCATCCATTTATGCAAATTATATCAGTAATATATGTACATTCTGAAAATCATATCAATATTTCAAACACATTTATATTCATAGCACACAACTCGAAAAAGGCTGACCAAATCCTGAGAGGTGTCAATTATTAGAATCCGCTACGACATTGGTTCCATTTATAAAGTAAGGGCTATGAAATCAACATTGGGGAAGGAGACCTATGATCATTCGATGGGTATGTTCCGTCCCGGAAACCACTCCACGATTTTAACCCATTGACGACCGCGTGGCCCGCCGGCGGGCCACACCACATCGTGCCCCTGTAGTATTTATGTTATTTATCAAGTGTTCTTTTTTTTCAAGTTTTCAAGTACCAGCTTAGCTCACAACCTTCTAGAAAATCTTGAGGCATCGTGGTTCAGGAATCATCCACTTTCAATTACAGTTATGAGAGAAATTGAAAGTTAATGTAAGGACAATGTAAAAGGCGCGGTCGCCAACGGGTTAACCATTACAAGAAATCGTTTCGGGGAATTTCTACGAGTTTTGCATTTAGAAATACTCATGACGACCGTCTTGTCAAAATATCTAATTTTTTGAGGTTGTTCAACGAATGAGAAATTCACCAAAGTAATGTACTGCTTCGAAGAAACACCTTTACAATCGCAAAATTAGAAGATTTTCTACGACCACGCTGTATGTAGTTTCATTTAAGCCTGATGTGATGTTTTAAGAAAATTGAAAGAAAGTAGAAATTTAGATGAATAGAAGAAAGAGTTTAAGTAGTTATATGAATGCTTGCTTACCTTTTAGAGAAATGGTTAGATGTACATTTAACCACTACATCTTCACCTATGCACGAAAACAACCACTAAAACCAATAAACCAATAATTTCATTTCTTCTCGTACTATTATTCCATATAGTTTTTACGATTCCTTCACCTCTAACTAGATTAATGAGGATGAATGAAAAGCTTGATGACCCCTAAATCTTCACTTCTTAATCAGGGTCACCTCGCACCTATGTGCGAAGAAACCCAAATTAGTTCCTTAGCTGATCGAAATTGGAGAGGCTGACCGATTTGGACTAGTTGGTCGAAGTAGAAATTGCGTTGTATCGGTAGCAATTGAAGCTCATGCGCCCCAATGGCAAAGTGACTGCCGAGGGTCGCGCCGAACTGCCGCCTCCCCCACAGCACCCGTGTGACATGTACGACATTGCAAGTACCCAAGACATATAAGACACATCGAAAAAAGACTTCGGGCGAGGGACACGGGTAAAGGACCGGAGCGGGGAAGGGGGGGGGGGATGATCAGCGCGCAGTTACAGACTGCTACCGTGCATAAGCGCAGAGTTTGCAGCAGGATAGGGAGGTCAGTTCTCCCTGAAATGTATTGCAACTTCCTTATGTAGTGGCATTGTTCAACTTCGACTGAAATTGGTTGATCAATACGGAGTCGATAGATATCCAAGCTACTAATTTTAGGATACTAATTCTAGGATGTGTTGATAACATTGCAAGACGATAACAATACTAGAAAGAAATCGCCGCGGGAAATAGCATTTAATCTTCTTTGTCGCCTATAAATTTGAACATTCTTTGACTAGACGTAGATGAAGGGTTATGAACTTCATTTTCAATTTGTTAGGTGATTTCAGTAAGTTATGAGCGTTATTGTTATTGTAGAATCCTACAATCATCATTATTTTTCTATAACTTTTCCAAATCTCACCGAAGGAGAAATACCCCATAAATTGCTATGACAGGAAAATCATTCTACAGACAGACAATAGCTAAGCACAGAAAAGAAACTCATGTTCTATGGTGACTACCAACATAGCACAAACACCTGATATCACGATGACCAAGATTGAGTACATTAGCTACTCAAAATCCATCTATATTTACAGTTCTCCACAATGTAACTCCTACTATTCCTTTTCATCATAATATGCACCTTTTATTTCTAACGAAGACACCCTCTCAGTTTTTTTATAGAATTATGGTACCAAAAATTTGGTTACTCCAAGTTACACATCTACTTCTGCAAAGCTGAGTGCATAAGAAGAGGTGAACTTGGCCAAACACCTCTTGGCTAAACATGTAAAACAAGTTTACGATCGTTAGCCATGAGTGTTCAGCATCGAAAGATGAAAGATCACTCACACATAGCTTACCTCTTCCATACTCGAAGTAAATTTGCAGTGCAATGCATATAGCTCTGGGTGATTCAAAGCATGAGAGCGGCTGAAATGAAACAATATAAAATGACAGCTACCCCACAAAGTAATTCAGGTAACTTAGCCGTCAACAGTTCGGTAAAAGTTTTTGAAAGGGCGTCTCCTATTTGCTTAACTGAGATGCTCTAGCTAAATCTCGCTGGCTTTGCGTGAATTCAATTCTTCACCAATGTTATAACATGTCGAATTTCGATTGACAATTGATATGCCCAAAACAGGAATCGAACCTGTGCCGCCACGGCCACAACGTGAATTACCAACCACTATACTAATTGGGCCGAGAGACATCGTGCAATCGAATTTCTGGAGAATTGCTCAAAATCAAGTAAATGAAACTAGAACAAAACAGGAAGGGAGGATTGAGGTAAATTGGAATCCCGTTTGCGTATTTGTGTTGTGTATGTTGTGCTTGTATACACGGGTCTGGTATCTTATCCTACCGGGTCGCGCTCGCCACATCGTTCGCGCGCTATGAAGGAAAGATTTGAATTCCCAGTGGAAGGATGCTCGACCGGAAATTTTCAACTCTGGTAATACCGTAATGTGGGATAGCATTGGCAGGCAGGAAAACTTAAAAAGCAAGCGCAACAAACCTTCAAATTTGAATCGAGTGTTCTAAAGAGTTGTCTGAATTCATCTAGGGCAGCAAGAACATCCGTATTAGAAATCTGAAAAATATTGATATTGACAGATTCTAAGTAACTGACAAATTTTGACCAAAGCTTTATTTCACTCTTCATGGAACGCAAGGCCTTACAATAAATTGTTTAGCAACTGAAACACTCAGTGTCGATTACGCTTTGGCAGATTCCACACTATTTACACTCATATCTTGTGCTTTGCTACACAATCTTATCAAACAATCGTGATGAAATGTCTTATAATTACTGTAAATAATGTAATGTAAATAAAATTACGCTTCCCTTCAGGCACTACTTTAAGCGCATTGTGAAGCGCCTATTTCCGTTAAAATCTCATGTGTAATTATGTTGAACATACATAGGTTGGGCGCTGCACTTTATGTACGCTTCAGAGACTGTTGTTGATTGAGAAGTACCATTCTGCTTAAGAAGCAAAACTTGCCTCGACATCAGCATTTCTCCTCAAAAGAAATCTCGCTATAGATTTCAACGCTGAGACATCGGTTTCAGCTATATACTTTTTGTGCACTCCACGATCGAACAAAGTCTGCAAAAGAAGTACCTCAAAAACGTGGAAAACAGTTGTCCGAAACGAATCTCACTTGAGTATAAAAGCAGGATAAGAGAGTCGTATGGAGGTAGGATGCTAGGCAGACAATTACAAAACAGACTAGCTGAGATATTCAGTCTGACGAAAATTGTACCAGGAGGGTTGAGAAGGACTTTGACACACTTTGATCCAATAGCGAAACTCCATGATGAAATTAACTCAGAAGGAAACTAAGCCGCTACGTTCACTCAAGATTAAATTTATAGCGTCACGAGTGTTCTCGAATCGAGTGTTTCATGAAAAGCAAATGCTGATCTTGAATCAGCAACTGCTTTTCATGACAAGTGTTCTCAACGCTTGCAAAACAATTTTCGCTTGGTGATGCCTATTTAACCCCCCCCCCCCCATTGCCCATTTTCAGCCCTTGAACTTGTTTAGTCCTTGTCAGCAACCAATTCCACGATCTCCAACTCCCCGTCAGCTGTCAAAGGACCACGTTCCACTGTCGATACGAGAGCGTAACGGTTCCTGTGGGTTCCGCCTCCTAAAACTCCTTATCAATCCCCATAAATCGTAATCACTTCCTATTACCTTCCTAAGGTTCCCATCCTGCCGTCTGTGTATTTTTCTTATTTGTGTTCTCTGTTTATGATTTTACATAACTCCTGTCCCGGGAATAAATTTCATGGCCGGGTAACTCGCACACTTCCCGACACACACACAAGACGTCGACACACACACCCACGGATCGAAATTGGACCAAGAGGTATAAGATCAACCCTAACCGCATGAGCCAGTAAATGACGGAACAAAAGTACAATAAGCGTCAAACCAACTAGACACAGAGGAGAAAAAAAAGAAACAAAAGAGACCGACAGAAAATGTTTGGTGGGGCTTTAAGCAGTGCATGAGGTTAATCTTAAAAAAATCTAACAATAAGTAATGCTATAAAGGATGAAGACTTTGGGCAACCACCAATCCCGCCTGAGTGATGCGCCTCGTACTCGACTTCCATTTAGAATCATAGCGGCGGACTGAATGCGGGTAAGGCCTCTACAATGATTTGTGGTGGCCAGTTGATGTACAAGTCAATATTTTTATCCTTCCAGACGACCCCAGCCAACCGACCCCGGAGTGGCCGAAGACTAGGTAGCTCAAGGAATAATGATCCGGAATGCGAATACGTGACCATGCGTGTCTCAAAGTGCGCCACTTGCCACCACACCACCTCCCCCTAAATAGAACTATAAAGCATAGGCATACCTGCACTAATAACAGAAGTAGCTTCAGAAGCATCTGGAGACGCCTGTTTCCCAGCAGATGTAAAGGAGTACCACTGTATTTGAACAAGCACTCGCTCAGCTTATCGACAAGCTGGCGCCGAGTAAAAGGAAGTTCCCGCTTCTTCAGTTTCCTCTTCTTCTGCGCGCCTTCCTCTAACGAAACATCACAATTCAATGTGGCTTCCTCTTTTTGTACCCAACGACGCAACTAAAAAATAAATTTGTGCCAGTACAGCCATAATAAATGTAAAGTTAACAAGAGGGTAACTTACTATGCTCAATGCATATACCACAGCTGCTAGGTTGAAATCATCACTCGGTATGCCGAAATTCATACCACTCATTTCACTCATGACTTCACGTAAATATTCCTCGAATTTCGCTTTGCGTACATTTCCTGGTCTATCTTTATAGAGCTGTTCCAACTGTGTAGCTTTTCTAAAGAAAGAACTTCAAAGAATGGCGAATGGCAATGCTGTGCGTCGACATTACTTCGCTCCTAAAGAGGATATTGTGAAACCAATAGATTAACACAGACCTCTCGTGGAATAAAAGCGAATAGTTTGATGATACTAATGGGACGAAGAAGTAAATAGATGCAACAACTTCTTAGCAAAAAATGTAATAAGCCACTATGAATTTTGTCTTTGAATTCGGTTGGCGCTTGGCTCCTTCAGAAAAGACCTCATCATGAATGGGTATGAATACATTCGCTCAAAAGGAGGCGCGCGGTAGAAGGTGCGGCGAAATTCGTGGTGATTAGAACGAATGTGGCACCTATCATCGGGGCGGAAAACGTCCGTTGCGCGCGTCCGTCTAAAGTAGGTCACCCCGCCTACTCCGCGCGCGGCGCACCCCAACTGAGGTCTTGAGATGACATTACAGTAGCGCCAAGTGTTAGTGGAGCGATTGATTTGTATTTGCCCGTGTTATCTTCCCTTTGGCTGACTGCTGTGGACCAAGCGCAAATCATATGCCCCACAGACAACTGCGACGTTTGTCAAAAATCGCGCGCTGACGCGTCGCATGCGACGGCTGTGGCGTGACCTAGTTTTGACGGACGCGCGCAACGAAGCGCACCCCATCGGGGCATATGTTTAAAGTGGAGTAGATTAGTAGGATCGAATGAGCGCTTGGTTCTTTCAAAAATGGCCGCATTAATAATTATGCGTATTCAATGATAGGCGCCAGAGCCGTTCAATCACACAGATTTCGCCACACTATTTGCCACGCACGCCCAAAATAGGGGGAATGTTTCGTCCCTCCATTAAGAATGAACGTCGAAAACTTACGTTTCGAGAAGAGAGAACACAAATTCTGGAGAATGCCCAATTTTTGTCATGGTATATACCATCTTCAAAGCAAGATCATTAGCACCAACTGATGGGACCGGAAAAAGTTTCTTTGAAGGCGGTAGAAGATCCCATTCATCAAGCAATCGAAACGTAGGTATACAAGGCAAAACCTTAAAAACGAGATTGAAAAATATTTAGGTAGAGGTGTTCTTCAACTACGAAATTAAACACCTACGACCTTAGCGGAATTCCCGAAAGTTCTCGAGCCAAGTGATCCGCAGAAATGGACGCCAAGAGTGCGAAGCAAAACAAGGATGGCATCAGGTCCGAAACATTTAATACGAAGAATACGAAGATCGCTGAACTCAATCTCGGTGAAAGGAGGCGGCCCCTCTTCCTGAAGTAAAATTCCTCCCTATGAGAAAGCAAGCATATTCCAAGTTTATACAAGCTACACGTGCCCAGTCGGGATAAAGTGTGTCATTCTGATCGTGCGCCACAATATGGTAACACAATGAACTGCAGTTCAAAGGGTAGGTTGGTGTCACATGAAGTCATATGAACACGAGCAGGACTCTGTGGGTAGGGCTTAGGAGCAAAATCAGGAAAACTGGAATTCATGTAAAAAGGATCTTACTATCCACATATTACCAAAATTCCAAGTAGTTTGTGATCTCTTGCCCAAGATAACAGGAGCTATTGATTTTAAGCAAACACACACATTCCCACCTATTCTGAATTGACTGCGTGTTTTCACTCAAAGTGCGCTCATGTCATCATGCCCCATACATCACCCCCTCCCAACGCCTCCCTCTATGTCTCCGCGGGCTTGATCTAGCTCAAATACCCTCTACTACCCACCATCGGTGTCTTAAGCCCGCCGCCTGCACTCGTTCCAAATCTGGACGCCTCAGGTCATGATTAGCAATCTTCGTGTACGTACCGTCTCCTGAAGGCGGAGCCATCTCCCATCAGCATTCCCATACTGCCGCTTTTATTGCTAGCAAATTTGAACGCTTCAGGTCCAAAGTGCCAATTTTAACGCTCGCCCCGCCCAGGGTTGAGTCCTGCCACCTACAATTAGTGCTCTCATCCTGCCAATACTGCTGTTTGTACTCCTACCAAATTTGAACGCTCTGGGTGCAAGGGATCAGTAGTAATGAATTTTCGCTCAAACCCCGCCTCTGTGACGGAATCCGGTCCTGCCAAGTGTTCCCATCCAGTACTCCTACCAAGTTTGTACGCTTTGGGTACTCGGGGACAAGAGTTAGGAATTTCATGCCAGACTCACCATCAGACACAGACACACAGATACACAGGTACACATACACATAGTCACAAACACACATCAACCGTTGTTATCGTGTCTCTTAATGTTCGTGTTGCCTCTAAGAAGCTGCCAAACTAAAAATTCGAAAATCCACATTCGAAAATCACTCAAAGATTTCTTTCCAACTTAGTGTTTATAACAGATTAACCGTTTATATAGGTATGTATGCATGCATGCATATGGGTGTGTTCTGTATTTAAAATTTATGCTCTCAGCTCAATTACGCAGTAGCACAGGCGGAGGATGGGAGACGGGCGTTAGGAACGATTTTGGGTAATCGATTCGCCGCACCGGCTGTCGCGGACCACTCATTCGCCGTTATTACAGCTCTAGCGTTCTTCATACAGCTCAATCGATATGCGATCATTATTTTATGCACAATTCTACTATTAGTACTTTTTTCTTGCATTTCTTACCTACTGCNGCGACCTGCTACAATCTTTCGCGCGCGACGCCCCTCTCACCGCGACGCGACCATTTCGTTCCTAATGCACCACGCCCGCGGAGGATGGGACTCTGATGGCACGTGATATGACTGGACCGAGCCGACAGTGGGTGGGGTGCGTGCATAGAAACAGTTCCATGAACCTGGGGAGCTAAAACTGGAAGGAGGCAGGACCCGCGTAAATTGGTCTCCTGGACCTAGAGCATTCATGTGCGAAAGTGATACAGGCGACAGGATGAAAATACTGTGAAATCAATCAGCTAATTAAATACACATGACTCAAGTAGGATTACCGCACATGACGGGCTGGGCGCTCACAAAGTGTGCAGTGGAGTGCATGTTTCCTAGGGAATTCATAACTATCCTCCTACAACAGAGCATCGAATACAGTAGGGATTGCAGGCGGGAAGCCGGACGTTAGCCGGAGGATCCTACCGGTAGTACTGGAACTAGAAAATTACAGGGTCAAAAAGTTTGGTACTGACACAATGACAACAGTAGCCATGACGTAGAGTCATGGCGTAGACTAGCAGCGGTGATGCTGGGCAGGTTAGAGGACTACCCACATAATGGTACTCAGATTACAAGACATACCGTCGAAACGTTCGCCACGAGCCGTCGTCTGGGTCGACTTTCAATTCTATCCAGCTCACGTTCCATTTCAATCCAACTTATCACAGCGTCATCGGATGACGAAGAAATCCTACAAAGGAGACAAGGCTAAATAGCAAACTACGAGTATATCCCAACGGCACATTTATAAGGTGCTCACTTCCCAACAGGACAGGCGGTCGAACNTGCGACCTCACCTACTTTTCCCAATATATCTCCTTAGTAGGGTATAGCCTCTTCTATCAACAGCGGATTTCAAAGCGGAGAGATTAACCTGATGCTGCTTTCAAAGAAATCTGCGAGATTTCAATATTAAGGGGAACCCGTGGGACATCGGAAGGATGAAGATGTGAAACAAGTTTGTGATGTGATTCGTTGATTAATATTCTTTTCGTGAGAGTGGAACATATGATAATTAGTCGTTGCGTTCTTGAGAAAAGACAAAGCATCTATCGAGCTGATTTTGCAGGTATGGTGCAACCCAGTACCTTTGGCGGGCCGTTATAAGGTCAACATCTCAAACGTTCGATGTGTAAGGAATGAAAGTTCACAAAAGAGCGACATGGTTTCAGCTTATCCAAGCCGACGGCACTGGAATGGCTGCTTTCATAGTCGAGCGAGCGCACGAGCTAGCCGGAGGATTACTCGCCCGGCGTATCGACCAAGTTTCAGTTGTAAACAAGGGGCAAGCGCCGCCCAATGGCTGCTTTCAGACCTCGACGTCCGTCCATCCGTCCGTCCGACGGGTGCGTGCTGCAACGGCGGCGCCTGACCTTTGTTGACAACACTGGACCACGTGGCAGCGCTGTCAACACTACTCTAGCGACCGCCGTCGCAGCACCACGCGTCGGACGGACGGATGGACGGACGAACGGACGTTGAGGTCTGAAAGCAGCCAATCGCTCGCTCGCTCGCGGACCAAATCGTGGACTACGAAATAGCCAATGAACCAATATGTACCCCAGCCGAGGGACAAAAGACACTCACGTGATCCGATGAAGAACCTGGCAGGGGCTCAAATCACACATAGCCACAGCAAAGCCAAGAATGTACTCTTTCCTGCGTCCGCATCTTGTCTATTGCGAGAGGGAGAACGTCCGTTGCGCGTGTTCGTCGAAAGTAGGTCGCCCCGCCCACTTCGCGCGCGGCGCATCACACTGAGGTCTCGAAATGACATTACAGTACCACCAAGTGTCATTGGAGCAAATGATTTGCATTTGTCTGTGTTATCTTCTTCTTGAACTGACTGCCGTGGACCAAACGCAAAGCNATAGCCACAGCAAAGCCAAGAATGTACTCTTTCCTGCGTCCGCATCTTGTCTATTGCGAGAGGGAGAACGTCCGTTGCGCGTGTTCGTCGAAAGTAGGTCGCCCCGCCCACTTCGCGCGCGGCGCATCACACTGAGGTCTCGAAATGACATTACAGTACCACCAAGTGTCATTGGAGCAAATGATTTGCATTTGTCTGTGTTATCTTCTTCTTGAACTGACTGCCGTGGACCAAACGCAAAGCGTATGCCTAGTGGCAATTGCGACGTCTGTCAAATGTCGCGGGCCGACTCGCCGCGTGCGACGGCTGCGGCGTGACCTAGTTTCGACGGACACGCGCAACGAAGCGCACCCACTGCGAGAGTTGGTGTCATGGTTCTTCTTAGATTTCAACTGAGCACAATTCAATGTTGGAAAAGAAACGTAACTTTAAATTCTAAACTAAGTTGTTGTCTAAAGAGATTAACTTGTTGCTCGGTATTCAAAAGCTCAATGTTCTTTTAGCTTTCAAAAGCCACTACTTTGAGCGTTCCCCTTGGGCAAATCGTTCGACCTCTACACAAACATCTGCGATTTTCAACAGTAGCCGGTGCCTGGTAAAAATGACCGATGACGAGTAGAACTTGCTCGATATCGGGAAAAAAACTCGAATTCACCTCACCTGTCTTCTAACGAAGATATAAGCTGTGTTTGAAGCTCTCTTTCGACTAATTCGGACTCCCTCAGGTCTGCTCGGCTTCCACAGGTGGCAACGTAATGGTCCCACCCTTAACAAAGTTTGCTGATAATGATGTTACAATGCTTGATGGAAAATTTGATAACACCAAGAGTTTTATAATAAACGCTTGGATTACCTTCAGATTCCTGATCTCCAAACCGAGGAACCCCGCTATTCCAAAACTCTTCGAATGCCTTGAGTTTCCTTTCCTCAGAGGCGTCAACAAGAGATGGCGGCAACCGAAGATTATACTCCACACTCGCCTGCAAACAAGTAACTTTAATATAATTGTTGACACTAGGACGTGGTCGAAAACTAGTTTCACTATCTCTAAGGGGAGACCATGCATTCAAGAATCTCAGGTAACAATGTCATTCGAGATGGGGATTATAGAAGGCGATAAATTATAACCCCGAACTTTTGATTTTTTTCAATCTTTCCTCTGCTTGGTACCACTTTCTGTGTTCTCATCCTACAACCGTCAAAACCTGCACAATGACTCGAATGAACCAAACCATGATGTGAACGAAGGGAGCTGAATCGTTCACGAAAAACTCATCAATTGTGGTATGTGCCCTCCTTCTAGACCCTGAAGTTTTTCCGAATCGGCACTGCTTCAGGTATTGATAAATGGGTGTCTTGAACACACATAAAAAGATTGAACATGCATCCTAATAAAATTTATTACATCATATTTTGCATGTCTCGTTGCTGCATTCGGTCAATTACACTGGATAAGAATTTTTTTTCACTCTACCAAGGCGAAGTCAAAGGACTTGGATGGTGAATGTCAGGATAAGGAGACAAAAATTAATTTACTTAGGATGTAGCACTTTATAAGAAGCGTTGATTTAAGAAATCACGCTATTGTCAGAGCTTTTATGAATGTCGAGTCAGCGCTCCTTGCAGCGGAACACATTTACGCACAAAGGAAACGGAGAATAACTAGTCCCCACACAGGGGAAAGGAAAAGGATAAAGTTTTAGGGCGTTAATCAATCCCGTTTGAGGGATGCACCCTCGCATTCGACTCCCATTCAGAATCGTAGTGGCGTGTTGAATGCGCATGTGGCCTATTCAATGATTTGCAGTGGCCAGCCGATGTACAATTCAGTGCTTTTATCCTCACCGTGACGAGCCTGGTACCAGTTAACCTACCCGGAGGGATGGAAGATTTGGTTGGTCTAGGCGGATATCGTTCAGAGATCGAACCCGTGATCGTGCGCGTGTTAAGTGTGCCACTTGCCACTATACCACCGCCCTGGGGATAGGAAAATTCTTACAAACATTACCCTTTTTGACCCTTTCAAAACCATTCCTCTCAAAGCAGCTTCTCCGAGTAGGTCAAGATAATGAAGTGGAAAATACGCATACATTTCAACTTCAGCACCCTCGTTCAAGGTTATAGGCGTGTTTCGAGCATATCCAAGAAACACCAGATTCCAGAGTTGGAATGAAGTGGTATAAGAGAGAGTGCTAATTTGATCGCAGCCGTAGGTGTAAGTCAATTTTGAAAGCGTCGACAGAAGTGGTAACAAGTAGAGACCATGCGACGAAAACAGAACAAGGGAAATAGTTCTCCATTTAGGCAGGAATCTTGTGCTGCTTTGAAAGCACCACGATGCAACAGTCTGAATGTGAACAACTTTGGGTGCAGTTCTACCAGTTCTACTGTTCCAAAATGCTGGTTCCAGAACTGTTTTCCAGCTTCTCTCCTCCCCTTGACCACAAAACATTGAGTGGAAGCGAATGTGTCTGTGGCATCCATGGCAACTGGAAGTTGGAGCAATGCTTTCCACAGGCTCTGAGTAACAATGCTCTCAGAACAAGGTTAGTAGTTCAGATGATCCCATCATCACGGAATTCCCGGACGCCCTTGAGACGTCAATAGCTCAAGTCCCATATCAGGGATTGTTGACAGTAGTTACCTATTTAGAGCCGATTTTGCATCTTCATCACGACCTAATGACGTTATAGTTATCTCATGCGTCTTTTTCCCTTTCTAAAATTGTCTAATAAAATAGGTTGAATAAACGAATACTTAAATAATAAATCAAGGTGGATGAAAAGGTAGATGCAGAGCCAGTCTTTTCATCCCGTTTAAAATTATATTAGTCAGAAATGAACACTGATGCTACACCTTGGTATTAATTTGACACAACCGCACCCAGGAGAGAGGGACCGTTAGTGCCATCGTTTTCATTTTCAAACTACATTTCAAAGGTAAAAGCACTGATCACTATAAATGCCGCCCTTGTCTGCGGTGTAGGTTCCAGTACCAGCAGTCACTTCCAGTTTCTTTAGGATCTCCCCTTGTAAACAGTATTCGAAATTAGACAATGAGCAAAAATAATGACAGTCCACGCATGAAAAAATCTTAAGGCGTCTTCAAATCAAGGATCGCGAAAGTCAACAGCATATTCGAAATGAATATACCCGAGAGTGAGCGAAAGCGATTTAGGGGCAAGTGGCGCTTATCCTGCGCATGGTCCGGTACTGAATTGCGAATCGATGGTCATCAATAGGCTAATCGGATCCTCCATCCCTTCGAGGTCGGTTATTAGGCGTTATACTCGTCTGGGAGGATAAAAGCACTGACTCGTACATCAGCTGGCCACCGCAAATGAATGTATATACCACATATTCAGTAAACGATTTCCTTGTCTTGATTAATCAGCAACAACAAAAGTAAAATCTAGAGGAAAGGTAGCACGATCCTGATCTGCTCGCTTTGTTTGCCCAGTTCAGCTGCCAACCACTAACCACAAAAATTTATTACAGTATGAAGGAACCGGCAAAAATGAAAACTCCTTTTAATACTCCCGCAAAGAGATTTGATTAAGCACTTGAAAAAGGCAAAATTCTCACCTGGACACTAGCAACAGCGCGATTTGTAAAGCCACGCTCCATCCACCACATCAACCTTCTAACATATGTGTGCAGAAGAAATACTTCTGTGTTGTCTTCCGGCTTGTGTGATCTAAATATTTTGGTGTATTTCGATGAACAAGCCATTTTCACGCAAGTTTACACTTCTATATGGATAAAGAAGATTTGTTGTGGTTGCAACTAGTGTTTTAGTCTCATTATCATTAAATACATAATTTGTGCGTCAGAACAGAAAATCAGTCCTTGGCTGAACCGTCATTCCTCGTTGCAGTGATACAATAATTATCACATTTTGAAGGATTTCACAAAATTTGCGGACATCACAAATATGAAACAAGGCTTGAAAGTAGAGGAGTTCGACGTCAACAGTGTCACACGATCGGTTCTCAGTGAGTGGTTGTGCTTTTGTTTAAGCCTCGATCTGTTGTTTTTCATCTTGCTTTAGCAGCATTGCGGTCAATAAATGGACAACGCCCGATTCGTACTACAACCTTCTTCTAAGCACGCCAAGGGAAAAACGCAGGTGTAGCAGCTCAAATTATCAGCAACCTATTCATGCTGGCAGTGCTCACCAATCAACGGTCAACAATCGGTTGGATCGTTTCACTGGAGGAGATACTAGCTTTTGAAGTAACGCAAGCGTTGTCCCTTCATTTGCAGGAAGTTGAAGGAATCCATCCACTATGAGTTGGTAAACGCAGACTGGATGGACACAGCTATCGGTCACTCATATGAACCCCGAAATTTGGTCAGTGGGGTTAGAGAATGACGACCAAAACCGTAAATCAGGTTCCTACAAAGGGTCAATGCACGTCGAAATTTCGCTTTAAACACGCGTCAAAAGTTCTATGATTCCAATTGGTTCCATGTTGTTCATCAGTCGTACTCCCCAAGTGTTGCCTCTTTTACCTACCATGCGCTTCGCCTTCTTGAGCATCACGTTGTTGAAAAAAATTCGGAGCTTAATGTGATCTGAAAACGGTAGTCAATTACTTCTTTGAGTCACAGCTTCCTCACTCCTGGATAAAGGGCATCAGTGATTTACTCAAATGATAATAGAAGTTTGGTGACCCCTTTGGTAAATATATTTCGGAAAATTGATTGGCCTGGAAAATTTCAGAAATGATTTGAAGAAGACTCTGTCTGAAGAAGACTTCATTGTGTCGCAGGACTTTCCTTCCAACTTAATATACAGGGTGTCCCAAAATTATTTGCGCCGATTTATAGCAATATATTTGAAACTTCTCAACTGCGAAAGACGGTGGAATTTCTATGCACGCTAGCTACCACTGTGTGCTACAACATGCTTAA